TAATTTGATTGGTAAGAGTCAGGAGGGACGAGAGCCTTTAGGTTTTCTGGTTGAGGCTGGCTCAGCAGAGAAGCAGCGAACACACCAGCAGACATGCATTTGATAAGCTCAGACTGCATCAAACCTGGATTGCCATTTGTGTCACTCAATCTTGTTCCCAACCAGAGAAGAACTACTGGTGTTTTCATTGTCGTTGTGACAAAGTACTAGAGGAAAACACCCCAGAGCAGAAAGGGTTTATTTTGATTGTGGCTTCAAGGATTTCAGGTCATGGTGTTGGTGTGGGTATGGCAAAGCAAATCACTTCACATTATTGAGACAAAATGACTATTGATGGCCTTTTCTCTTTCTTTACCTGGTCCCCAGCCTTGGGGATCCATTCCACATTCAGCACAGGTCTTTACATCTCAGTTCATCCTCTCTGAAAACAGCATGGTAGACACACCTAGAGTTATACTTTACTAATCTCAGTGTTTCTCAGTTTACTCACTTTGACAACCGAAACTATTGTCACAGTTAGAGATGAAGGAAGACAGAGAATGCAGAAGTGACAGTGTCAGATCCCCAAGCATCCTGTAATTTCTAAAGCTACTGCTCAGCTAGGGACACATCTTGAGCAGACATGCCTAAATCAGAACTGTAGGCTGCACCTGATTACTTGCCATATCCTGCTGCTACCGCATTGACTGTAGTCCTAAAAGAATCACTGAGACCTAGCCAATGAGAGAGAAAGAAAGAGAAACCTGAAACAGATTCAAAGAATAGATTTGGGCATGTAATGAAGGGGGGAAAAACTAGTGATACACATGGAAATCCAAGCACACACTTACTTCTTTTAAAAAAGATAAAATTAGATGAAAAAAAGCAATCTGGAAAAACTAAATAAAGAAATTTACTCTAAATCAAAACAGTATCCATATAAACAGTATTTAAAGTTGCAAAGCAGGATAAACATAACTGAACATACATAGTAGGGTATACAAAAGCAAGCCAAAGACCCTGCACACAGGAAAAATAAAATAAATAAATAAAAATACCAATAAATTCATGGTTCATTAAGGAGAAGGCAGAACATATATTTACAGAGCAATATTCAAGTACAGGTTAAGAGAAACATTTTGTAACCAGTTCCTACCCTGAGGTCAAACCTGAGGTTTACAGTAATTTTATACTGTACCCTAAGCCACAGAAAATAGTCAAATATGATGTTACTGAATTTTGTGGTCAGGAAGAATAAAGGTCATGGAGCGTTAATTTAGAGAAGCATGCTCACATAAAATACAAGTTATGTTGACGTCTCTACCTTATCTATCAGTGTCTGAAAATATAGCTGGCTCTAAAAGAGCCTGGGGGAAAGCATTTTAGACATTCTCTTATGGTATATAAAATGATCAGTATTTTCAAAATGAAATGACTCAGGGAATATAAACTCCATGAGAATTCTTAGGAAACTACTTGAAAATGACACACAAAATAAAGATAAAGGACTCTTGAACCAGATTTTTAAAAAAGACTTATGGCAAACAATAAATTTGTGTTTCTGTGCCTTCTTCTTGCGCAAATAATATCAAGCAGGTCAAGTCTTTATCAGTCTATGAATCCCTCATGGACTCAACCGTGTGCTGTGCTAACAGTCACAGAAGCAATATTGTGAAAGTAAGCACCAGTGTATGCCCAAAAGCTCCATAGCACAAAATGTAGGTCATGATATTTCAACAGGACAAGTGCCGTGTAGGGCAGAACAGAGGCTACTCATGAGATTCTTCACTCACCCTGGAGAGTGGGAGGATATTTGGGGACACTTGTATGTAGGCTAGTTTCTCTAGAATGTAAGTACACTAAATATTTCTGTTAGCCAAAACACACTTTCTCAGTGTTTAGTGTTATCTAATCTGTTCTGTTCCCAGAGATATCTTATTAATGTAACCCTCCCCACGGTTTAATCCATTTGGAAGACAAGTTGTAAGACTTTTTGGCATTAATGTAGATACCATTGAGATCCACCTTGTATCCACATATCATACATTTAATGCCGGGTTTTCATGCACATAATAAGTCATCATATTTCTCATTGTGCATTTCTTCAGTAAGCTCTGCCTTCAAAATCAATCCATAATTTAAACTGGAACCCTCAATCCACTCAAATTAGCTAGTATATCTTTGAAAATTTTCAAATTACATATTCATCAAAATAAGAAAAAATTTTCATGCTTTCATTCAAATTGTGAAAATCTAACTGGGCATACCCAAGTCTCAAATGGTTAACTGTGCTTCCTGCCAATGAAAGTATTAGAGTATATTTGGTAGCATGTGCTTAAGCCAAAGAGGAAATGTCTGGTCCAACTGCTACTTACCCAATCGATTTTATCCACATTCCAGTATTTTTTTAAATCCCGGAACTGTATTAACATTCCCTTCAGTCCCACAACAATAATGCTTGCAAGAACGCACTGCAAAGGAAAAATAAGTTGGGGAGAAGCAGGACAAAGATTTTAATGTGAGTTTAAAGGCACCAAGGTATTGTTGGTTGTTTTTCTAAAAGTAAATTGTTGAGAAAAGCTGTCACCAATTAGGTTAAAGTAATATTTGCTTGTTCAAAATTAACTTATTTTGTGCTTTAGGGATACAACATCAATTTTAGGAACTCATGGGCAAAACTGTTGCAAATTGAAAAGAACAGATAAGAAAAAGAAAAACTGAATTATGAAGGTGACTGTCACAAGGCCGGAGGTCCTTTCATTAGAGTCACTGTATTTTATTTGAAATACGTTTGTTACAGAAATTATACATTTGTCTCATATATTTCTTTACATGGGTCCTAATGGTAGTTATTTGTTTCACCTATAGATATTTACACCTGTGAAAAATGAACTTGAGTATTAGGCAGTTATCTTATGGAATGGTGCCTCTTCCTTGAAAAACTAGGACTTAGAACACTGGAGGCTAAGACTGGGATGGCAGCTCAGATTGCTTGGGAGCCCAGGATTTATGATGGATTAGGTGAAGCATCAGTGTGGAGGTCCACTGAATAAAAGATGTGTCTATGCTGTGAAAATGGATTTTGTCCTCTAGCCTAGACTCTGCAAAATTCTTTGAAAGCCCCTCTCTTTCCACCTGGGGTCAAACCAAAGAATTTGTGCATGCTCAGTTAGTACTCTACCATGGAGCTACACCGAGTCTCAGAAGTCTGCTTTTCATGAGATTATTTCTACTTCGCCCTGATGAGCCAGAAGACTGTCACCATTTTTTTCCCTTTCTCCCTTGTGAAATATGGTGTTTTTTCCACTATGCTCAATGTTCACTTAAGTAAAATGATTTCCAGATTTAGTATTATTGAATTTATTCTCCCAGGATATTTAGTGCACAATAATTCTAATTAAAGGTCAAGAAGTATATCATATAAAGCACTACTGTACCATAGGCAGCCAGTACAGCAAAGGTCCTATTGCATAGATGACTACAAGGACGGAAAGGCAAGATATTAGACAGGCCACCTGAAAAACACAAGACAGACAAAAAAAGAAAGCCTTGAGCTCTACTGTTATTTCAAAGCTATGGGAATAGGGGCAAAAAACAAAATGTTGGCATATTGTTAAATTGCATGGACTGTCCTTATCTGTGTTTTGCAGTGAAGAGACATCAAATGTAACAGTTGACAAACTGGTACAACCAAATGAAGTCAGTGATGAGACAAGTACACATACAAACAGGACACCATTTATTTGCACAGCACATCATAGCGGTGGCTGGTTGCAAGTGAGAGTGAGACTTCTGAGGAAAATCCTACAGCCTGACACCACTCATTATTTTCTAGAAGGTCATGTGGGTAACCATTGAAGAATTCATAGCCTGGGGTTTTCTTCTGTTAATGACACATTTGCCCCAAAGTGTTGTCTCTCTCTCTCTCTCTCTCTCTCTCTCTCTCTCTCTCTCTCTCTCTCCCCTCACAAGAAACTCTGGCAATGAAGTGGTCAGACGGGGTTGCAGGAGCAGTCTCTGCCAGAACAAAAGACTTGATTTTACTAATCCCAAGTCTTTAGGATCATATTCTATCCCACGGGGCCTGCTGATAAAGGTCATGCCTCCCATAGCAATGACAGAGAACCTGATTTCCCAGAAGCAGAAGTCCCTGACTGCATAAAAACATTTGGCCAGACTGCCATCATAAGAGGCCTTTCACTGGTCCTTAAAGGTATTCACTATGAAGATGGATCGTGTGTACTGGAAAGGCTTGAATTTAAATTAAATACATAAATAATTTCAAAATCCGGCAAGGGCAGTTGAAGGTCTCCAACAATGCTGTTGTGGCAACTGCAGGTACTTGGATACCGTTCCTTTTTGTACAGAGTAATACACATACTTACCAGAGACCTAGAAAGAATGGACAGGTTATAGGACATCCTCCAAACAGCAGTATAAAGCAAATGTGTGGGACTCAAAACCACTGTGATAAGAGAAGCTAGACACAAAAGATACAATTCTGTACCAACGACAATTTTTAAAAGAGAAAAATCATAGGATGCCAGGGGATGGAGGTAGGCACTAAAAGTTAAATATAATTAGACATGGGGAAATGCCTATTTTGAAATAACAGAAATACAGTTGTGTTGATACAGTGAGCTTTACATGAAGAGTCGCGGTGTTTACTAGAGCTAATAAACCTCGAGAATCCTGATTTGTAAAGGGAGAAACTGAATGCATCTGAAACAACTGCTGGCTGTCCTGTGAGCACACCTGGAGCCAGCCAGCACGGTCTCAAACTTGCTGCCTTTGGAGGCCCTGCTGTGGCAGGAGGGGTCGAAAAATAGGGGCATGATGATGACTCGGCTCATCAGACATTCTCTTGGATTAGAACAGGCCTGTATTAGTAGACACGTGGTTAAATGGACAGGAAACTATGCTAACTGTGGCTTTATCTCGGGTAAAACGTCAATGACATTTGTCCTCTCCGTGAGACTTTTTCAATCCAACACTTACAATGCACCTGCAAACAAATTCAGTCCTAGGAGCTGGAATGAATTCAAGCTCAAGTCAACATACCCAGGAAGGATCTGAGACACAGCAAGATGGGTGACTCATCCAAGGTCAGGAAGAAGGGAGGTGACATGTAAGAAGGTAATACCAAGTGTTTTATATCTTATTTATGTTATGTGTATAGATGTTTTCTCTGGATATATGTTTGTGCACTATGGACCTGGTGCTCATGGAGGCCAGAAGAGGGCGTCAGATCCCCTGGAGCTGGACTTACAGATGGCTGCCACTAGGTGGGTGAGAGGAATTGAACCCTGGTCCTCTAGAGGAGCAGCCAGTGTTCTAAGTTGCTGAGCTATCTCTCCAGCCCAACTCCCTTATTTTTAAGTGAAAGCTTAATTTAGCACAAGCAGACATGTTTGGGAAATTCTTCTAACTCCTGTCAAGAATTGCTGGTGGTGGGAAAGTGTGAGTTTATAGGAAGATAGGGATATTGCAGCGCAGCAGGAAGGAGCAGGACCGGGAGGATCTCTGTTTCCCACTCACCTCTCTAGAGGAGGTCAAGTGACAATCTTGGTTTTAATAGTTTTAAACACTAACACTAAGCCAAAGGACACCAAGCCCAATGCACAAACGCTGGATTGTCAAGGGTTTGCTTACTTGTTGAGTTTTGTCTTGTTTACTAACAATGTGTCCCTTTTTTCTCCTTGAACTGAAGTAGGACATGTATCACTCTTCTAATTTTAGATGTTGTCTCAGATTTAAAGTGAAGCGTTTGGTTTCCAGCACTGGCAATGGGGACTGTGTGAACACATAATCAGCTCAATTTGGCATTGTTCTAAGTGAGGCAGTTCAACAAGTGAGGGGTTTTCAGAACTATTTTTTAAAGTTCCTCGTTAGATTACAGTCTACTAAGGATGCTATAAAAACTACACAATGACTAACTAGTGATAAATAAAGTGCAGCTCCTTGAGGCTCTTCACTAACAATATTCAATTTGTTTCTTTTTCCTGTCAGAAAAGAAACAGTGCGTAAGTAATTCCTCAGTAGGTTTCAGAAAGATTTAGGCTATAAATGCCGAAGGCAAGCATTCACATTCTTACCAGCCACAAGGTATTTTCCTCTTCAGTACTTTCCATGCCATGCTGACTAAATGCTTCATGATAATTTTTGTTTTAAAATTTTAAGTTGTCATGTCTCAGAATTAAGTCTGCATAAAAGTTAATGAAATCTTTATTTTCTTCATGTTTGATTATAAGGTTATATACATATGTGTATATATATATGCAAACATTACATATAAATTCTGTTTCAGAGGGCTGGGGGGATGAAGAAGTGTAGCATTTAATCTGTGCTGTCAATCTCAGCACCATTATAGATTGTTCATTATTTAGAATGATGACCACTAAAGGTATTAGTGTCCTCCATAGATACACAATACTCACTTAGAAAGAACAGATCACAATTGTTTGCTTCCCAAGCAGAAGTCAAATGATGCACAGATTTATGAAAAGTGGTGAAATCGTAAAAGAGATAGGAAAGAGCAGGAAGAAAGAATAAGAAGCAGGACACTAGGCAACATGGCTAAATTAAGACCTTGTAGAAGATGCAAGCAATGAGCCTACTTCTGGAAGAATAAAAGGAATTCAGTTTTGCAAATTAGAGCCCAGAGGCAATCTTAGCGTTGCCAAACAGCATGCCAGCTGCTGTTTTCAGTTGTGGCTGCATAGCCTCTGCAGCAGATGCTGTCTGGCATCCCTCATGGTTTTGTGATCCTCCTGAAGACCCTGAAAAGCACTGATGTGTTTCTGCTGTTGGAAGTGAAGAGAAGCGTGCAAGAGAGGGAGCCAGGGGACACTGAGCTCCCTCCCGCCCAGAGTTAGCATTCCAGTTCAGATAGGAGGGAAGTAAGAAACAGTGTTCACTTGTGCTGTTTGTCTTACTCTCCCAAAGGCTGTTCTTAGATCCACAGGGAGAGCACAGCTAAGAGCACTTCCACATACCGAGGATGAATGTGTGTCTGTCTTTGACTACAGCACTTGCTAATAACTGATCAAGTATCTTTTATTATTCCTATTTAAACAATTCGATTAGATTTCTGAAACACTGAATGAAGTCTTTGCCTTCTATGCGCTTACATAAAATAGTCCCAGATTCCCTGCCCAATAATCGCCATGTTAGCTCCTAAGTACTTGAAATGTGACTAGTCCATATCAAGATTAGTCTGCACATGTAAAATATATACCAGATTCCTAAGCTTTATTGAAGAAAAAATACAAAAACAATTTTGTATATAGTTCTTTAATCCATGTTGAAATTATAATAATTTTATCATATTACACAAGTTAAATGAATTAAAGTCAATTTTCATAGGTTTTCTTTTTTTAAGATGTGGCCACTATGTAATTTAAATTACTTGGGTAGCTCATATTATATTTCTGTTGAACGGGATATTTTAAAGTATGTGATCAAATATCTGATTTTAAATAGAATCTTTCCAACAACAATGTACTCCAATACATTAAGATTTTATTAATGACCACACACACACACTGCCTTTGGTCTGTCTGACCAGACTCTCAGCAAACAGCAGGGGTCTTGAGGGTGAACCACTGCAAACTGGATCCTTGGGCTGGCTGGTATAGTCCATGGCATGTGAAGAAAAGAACTGGGGTTCTGATGCCCAGAACCCACATCACAAAGGCTGGGCATGATGGCACATACTTATAATTCCAGTGCTAGGGACGAGGAAACAGGTGGATCCTGGGAACTCACCAGCCAGCCAGCCAGCCTAACCTACTTTGTAAGATTCACGCCAACAAGAGACCCTGTCTCTAAAAAACAAGGTGAAAAGTTCTCGTGAAATGACACCCAGGGTTGACCTCTGGTCTCTGCACACACATGGGCATGTATACCTGCAAATGCACATGCATTTACATGCACATGAACATGGACAACCTACAAACACACAGAAAGACAGGCAGGCAGGCAAAGCTAAGCGATTGAGAAGGCTTGTCTAAGAAAGCACTAGAGTGAGTAGAAAAAATACATTTCTGAATTGTGCAAAGCCTTTTCTGGGACTGAAGGAAGAAATAAAATGATGGTGTTTTTGTTTTATCAGAAAGCTCACTCTTTGCTCTTGCTTGTAGAGCTGGGGATTGAATCCTGTGCACAGCAGACGAGTGCTCTATTATTAGCTACACCTCCAGCCTTAAATAGATAACTACACAGAAATTTCACAGTGAAGTATTCCTGTGAGAATACTGAAACTCTTGTAGGTGGTAAAGTAATTAATAAGGGTAATGTGCTTATCACCTGTGCTTTGAGGCGCTGTAATTAATTAGATAAAAAGTTGAAGGGCTTCTATGTGTCCCAGGTTAATTTAGTGGGCATGCGTTTCAGGGCCTAGGAGAGGCAGAGCCACTGAAGGGCCTGCGCTGTGAAATCATGTGTGGGAAAAGGCTTTCACGAGTAGTCTGTTCAGAGCCAAACTCTGGAGATCTGGTTAGAACTCTCTTCAGCCACACCGGTTGTCAACTCTACCTATATACACTCAGTGGTTACAACACAAAAGGTCTGAAATGGATACCAAATCATCCTCAATTTGAGCATGGACATTAGTTCGGATTCTCTGTGCAATTGGACAGGCATGGTTGGGAAGCAGTTTTCACCTCAGCAAGCAGGTTATCTGGAGAATACTCTGCTGGTGGGCTTTAGTATTTTGCTAGATTCATTTCTTTTGAAGTTCAATACATAGTTTGCAGGAAAAAAATCTTTTATTAAGTAAGAAGCCTTTAGAAATGTTCTCTTGTTCTAATGGTTCAAACATGTAACTCCCCAGAACGAATCCCTCTCTCCCCATCCTAGTAAATGATGTTATTGACCTGCTCAGATTGTATACTTAGGACAAATTTTCTAAAGTGTTCTTTCTCTTAAGCATTCAATGTTGAAAGTTACAAAGGCTGATCAGAGTTTTCTTGTCACTGATACAGGGATAAGAAATGCATGCAAAGCACCTAAGGCCAGCGACAGCGCACGTCGTGGTGAAGCCACCTCAGGGGTGTATTTCAGCCTCTTTGTCCATAAGACAGGGACACTATCATCTTCCTCAAGCACCCTCAGCAAGTGAGGGCCAACTAGAATGAGAAAACCATCCCAGGAGAAGGCCGTCCCAGCCACACAGGTGTCTTTACTTAAAAACAATAAAACCATAATAAAATCAATTGCAATCATTGACATTTCAAAAGTGGTTTTTTGCGTGCTTAGGTGTTTCACTAGTTCTGCATGTATTGATTGGTTTAATCTTTACAGAGTTATAATTCTCCTTGATCAGCTGAGTCCGTTAAGTTAGAGCAGTTGAGTTACTGGTGCAAGACCAGCCACCTGTATGTGATGGCACCGGAAGGCAAGCCTAGCTTCTAGAACCTACTCAATATTTTTCGTTCATTGAGCCTAAATATGAAAATAACCAACCTAACGTAATCCATTTTTATAAGAGATCCTGAGGAAAATCTATAGAAGCCTAGACTGTTACAGGAAGGATTCATGAAAGTAAATGATCACAAACATTTAAGAGTAATTCACAAAAAAAGGTTTGTGCCAACCAAGAGACACTATGAACCTATATTTGAATGTGAGAAATCCAAGCTTACATAAGAATCTTGCTTCTTAAGTTATGGTTATTATTTGTTAAACTGTAATGTATTCAAAATTGATGGTTATGTGTCCCTCTGCTCTATGGTGTATAGTATCAGTCTTACTCACTACTTTATTATTTATCTATATTTATATTGGTACTTGCCCCCAAGATTGCAAATCTACACTTTTCTTATGCATTTTCTACAGCTTAAAAACTATATTAAATATAAGATAAACCTCTAATAAAAGTTTGAATTTTCACATAAAATAGGTTATGGATTCTCATTCAATTCTTATTTTATGCATGGATTGTTTAATAATGGTTAGTTGTTATTGTCAATTTCTTACGATATACATCAATTTTCTTGATTGGTCATTGGTTAAGAGTACAATCACTCTGAGTTTAAATCCAAGCTTTGCCATTCCCTAGGTCTATGACCAGGTATTGTATAGCAGTTTGCAGAGAAGCTCCTTAAGCCAGAAAATAAACAACTCAAAGTAACATCAGGAAGCTCCTGAACCTGACCAGATTTAGCAGGCCCCTCCCTTCCAAGAGTAAACAATAAGAGATGCAGAGAGTCAGCTGCGGACAAGCAAAGCTGCAAATACCCTGAGACCAGACCAGCTGCCTGGAAAAAGCAGAAACCAGTGAGCTAAGCTACTTGAAAAGGTTTAGACCAACAGAGGCATGTGGAAAGGACACTCTCCAACCTATTGAGCTGCCTGCAGACTGTGCAGTGTGTTCCCAACTACCAGCTTTTGTGAACTGTCATCCATGCTGGGGTGGGCTTTGGTGGTACATCGGTCTTTGAGTCATTTCTGCGCTTTTAAGTAATCCCTCACACATATTACTATATGCAACCCCAATAAAACTCATTAGTTCTCCAAGTTGGACTTTGTTGGCATCTGCACTGTGCATACATAGATCTGTTGTGGGATCCTTATCTGAGATGAATAGATGTGTGTGTGTTGGGTCTCCCTAGGAAAAGTTTTGTTACACAACACCTGGATCAATTACTTCAGCCACATTTCCCTCAACTTTCTCACACAGAAATGGAGAACAATTTTACAACTTTCAATGAGTTGCCTAAGAGACTGAGTCCATTTATATAAAAAATTAGACACATAATGCCTGACACATAATTCAATATTGTTTCCACCACCATCAGTACCATCGTCTCTATCATCATCATCATCATCATCATCACTCTGCCATTATGCAGCATAATGCCTAATATATCAGGCTCGCAAAAAAATGAATCCTTTTGAGTTCCAAATATTCACATATATAGAATGGTACTTTGGCACATTTGCTCATTGCTATATATGCAATGTTAGTGTCGAGAACTGATTCTGCGTAGACTTGATTATCTTTTATTTCAAGGAAGTAAGCAAATAGAAAAAAAAAGAAAGAAAAAGAAAAAGTCGAGACTGGTTAGGTTAACTGAGACACCACTAGATGGAGCCCCGGCTTCAAGATTGCTAATAATAGAGCTGCCATGGGTACAGAATTCAGCAGTTTGCTCCTTGAATCATTGAGCCTGTGGGAAAGTCATTAATGGGGAAAGATAAGAAAAAGAGGGGGAGAGAGAATGGGAAAGAGGGAGCAGGAGAGGGAGGGAGGGTTCCTAGAAGCTGCTTAGAAAATACAAATTAGCAGCATTTTCAAGGTACCTCTTCTAGTCTGAGAAGGGATGGTGGCCCCACAGCCCCTCTCTCCCTGCGGAACGGTTGTTACCTGTGTCCTTGCTCCTGTGCTGTACAGAGCAGCCGTCCTTCCCATGGCAGCAGCACTTGGGATACAGAAGAAAAATGAGGGGATCACATTGCTGAGGCCGTGGGCCAAAAATTCCTGCAAGATTAGTTATGAGAGAATAGAAATTTCTTTATCACAGTCTCCTTCTAGAGTCCCAGGTACAATTTGTCAAAGAATGAAGCTTGTTTATGCTCAGTTACTGTTCTTCTCATCAGTTGAGATGCAACAGTTTATAATAAAAATAGTCAATGTTCATTGACTGTTTGTAATCCTCCAAGACTATTCTGAGCACATCACTCTTTCAACTCTGACAACAAACTTGTGAGGAAATTCTATTTACTCATGATTTTCATCGTCCATGTCTATATTCTCAGTCACACCAGTCAGGTTCTGTTCCCACCCTTTCCTCACAACTTCTGCCTGACTAACTCCAATGACTCCTTCTTCCCTTACCTGGTATAAAGATGCATTTGCCACAGTTACTATTTCACCTTTCTTTTAAAAATCCCTTCCATTGGCTTCTTAGACCTCACACTCCAAGTTTCCCTCCAGCTCTCTGGCTGTCACTTCTCAGTTTCCTTTGTTATCTAACCAGTTGCCAATGTAGGACTATTCGTCTTGTGTATCTACATCTTAACTACACAGATATAAACGGACAACTTCGCATTTACATCTTCATCGTGGACTCCTCTCCTGAACTTCAGACTCCCATGTCCAACCTGTTATTTGGCATCCACATTTGATGGCTAATGAAAACTTGGTAACTGGTCTACAGGGCCCTCGAATCCCAATCACATCCTCCCATGTCTAGCTCCCAACTGTACAGCTATCTATGACTCTTCCCAGAAACTCCAGATGCAATCCAGTATGCATCCACATAGGCTTTTCCTCACCAGGGCCTGCTCCAGTCACCATGCTTCTACTGGATAAATGAAAACTCCTCCTAACACCCTGCCTGCCCCTATTGGCACCAGTTACTGTAAACAATCATCTCTGGCCTCGGAGAGATGTGGTTCTGACAAGAAAATATAGACAGCAAATAGACAGACTTAGACAGCAAGTAGAGAAGGGTGTAGAGAGGCCTGGATTTGAGGAGTTTGGTCAATAGAGGTCTTCCTATGAAGTGAGGATCTGAATGAGAAACTTGTACAGATGTGTGAGGGAGCAGGATTCACAGGAAATAGAACTGTGAGTGCAAAATTCCCCAGCCAGAATCCCGACTAGTGAGTTCAAAGAAGATACAGAAAGTGTGGCTAGGATATGTCATAAGAGACCAGATAAGAAATGGGATCTTGAAGACATACAGCCGTGTAAGTCATGGCAATGAGGTCTGTGATTTGAGCATGAAAGGAGGAAGGCCCTGAGAGTTTCTGAGTGGATGAAAACATTCATCAAAGCAGTTCATTATTTTATCCTTGGAACCTATAGCAGGGCTTAATATCCACATATCTGGAGAGAACTGAGGCGGATAACCTCAGCATGAGTTCTGTGTGCAGGTGGCAGTGTGCTTGTAGGTAGTACCCTGCAGCTTCTGTGCCGGCCCCCAGAGCAGTGTGGGGCCTTGCGGCGTGACAAAGATCCTGGGAGAAACAGATTCAGTAAACAAGTATGCACGCACTCTCAAGTATGCAGGAACAGGACTTCACACCCTGTAGTGTTGGTATATTAGTTATGTGTCATGAAATGACAAATATGCTTGGCGACTCTCCTAAAACCAAATAAAAGAACATGACGGTGTATGTTTCTAAAAATGTGTTTTAAGGGTCAATGAGATAACTCAGCAGGTGAAGGCACTTGCTACAAAACCTGATGATCTCATTCCATCCCAGGACTCACACAGTGAAGGAAAGAACTGAATTCTGGAGGCTGTCCTCTGACACACATGCAAATAAAAGGAGGGAATGAACAAATTAATGTATTATAAGCTGGGAACACTAGACTCTCAGTTTCCGGGAATGACTCGGAGACTCTACTGCTTTCTTCTGCCCATTCTTGCTACACATTAGAAAATTTGTATTTTCAAACATTTGACCTTTTCAGTATCTAAGCATCTACAGAGCAGTGAAACACACTGGCTAGAGAGGGGCTGGGGGCACACTCTACCTGGTTGTCATCAACTGAATATTTGAACTTCTTGGCAGATCCTTGAGCGAGGGACAGTGAGGCCACATAGCCTACAAGTGCAACTCCAAAAGCTTCAGTGAGCACTGCGGAGAGGATGTTCATGGGTGGAGCACGGGGTGGAGGAATCCTATGGAGAGGGAGACTGGATTGAAGCCACCAACCTTCCTGTCATTTCGGTTAACAACTTGCCATGAATTCCACTGCAGTATGTTTCTAAAGTTTACATGGAATACGTGAAACCTCCAAGGGAAAAACTAAGCATTCATTTCCGGAGAAGCCCTGTTATTTCACCATTATTTAGCAGAGAAGCAAAACTGTAGGAAACACCACAGGGAGAGCCCCGTGCATTTAGCTGACACTCACGCCAAGGGAATTCAGGTCATACCGCAGAAATTCTGACTTGACAAAAGTTTCTTGTAGGAAACAAAAGCATATCTGGGCCTTCGTTTCATTTGAACTTTTCCAAATATTTATTTGGCTGGCACTGGAGCTGGGTTTCCTCCCTTGAATGCTGCAGAGTTTCAGGCAAACACGAGCTTACTTTACTGTCGGCTAATCTCCAAATATGCCGTTGACTTCAGTAAGGTAATTACATTTTTAACTCAATCCTTTCATGAGACAGTTAATCATGGCTTACACAAACTAAAGAAAATATGTAGGAAGAGCTCATCTACTCTCTATTGCA